GATTCAGCCGCTGTTGAAATTGATCAGTTTCAGCAGCGGCTGAATCTGGACGCCAGTTCCGACTTACATACAGATTCAACTTAAGAACAAACCTACAGTCCCTATCTTGTACGTAACCCGGGGACTGCCTGTAAAGATTCAGCCGCTGTTGAAATTGATCAGTTTCAGCAGCGGCTGAATCTGGACGCCAGTTCCGACTTACATACAGATTCAACTTAAGAACAAACCTACAGTCCCTATCTTGTACGTAACCCGGGGACTGCCTGTAAACCTAGACCTTTTCTGCACGTCCAGCCTGTTCTTAAACCTCTAATGGTGGGGATTCCTCAACTACCTTAGATAGTTAAGCACTAGAATGGGCTTCCAAACTGAGGGAAGTGTTTTTTCTAATATGTAACATATGACTACCATGTTGCAGATTTAGAGATTAGTGCACTTCATAACATCCTCTTAAAATATTCGAAGACTATTGTCAGGTCCCTCCTCAATTATCTTTTCTCAAGACTAAATATGCTCATGTTTTTAACCTTTCTTCAGGTCAGGTTTTCTACTTGTTTTTTGTTTTTGTTTTTAACTTTAGTTGCTCCTTTCTGGACTTTTTAGTTTAGTATATATGTAAGTATGGCACCTAGAGTTGGACACAGTACTTTACATAACAGTGGTGAGGCCTACTTTAGAGTGGGACAGTTATGTCCCTTGTCAATGTACAACACTGCTGCTAATATGCTGGATTATATGAACCTTTTTTCAGCTGCATCATGTTGACTCATTCCATTTGTGATCCACTACAGCTTTAATACTTCATGTGTGTCACAGGACATTACATGTCTCTGGATTACTCTGCACTGAACTCAGTAACTTGTTTGACTAAAGCACATTTTCCAGAAAGTCATCAAGGCACTTCTCTTAGGCTATGCCTAGACTGCAAGCCCCTTTTGAAAGAGCGTCTAGACTACAATCAGTACTTTCAAAAAAGCAAGCTCTTTTTTTTGAAAGAGCACCCAGGCAGTCTGGATGCTCTTTCGAAAAAGCACAGTTTGCATTACATAGCGCCTTTTTTTTGAAAGAGCACTTTCGAAAAAAGGCGTTATTTCTTGTGAAATGAGGAGTACCGCCGTCGAAGGAAAAGCTGCGTTCTTTCGATTTAATTTCAAAAGAACATGGCTATAGTCTAGATGCAGGTGAAGTTTTTTCGAAAAAAAGGCTACTTTTTTCTAAAAAACCCTGCAGTCTAGACACAGCCTTAGTAGTTCTGATAATCATTAATTCCCTGTTTAGAAATGGTCACTTTTGGCTGGGTGGGGGTTTGTGGTAAAGCGCTGGCAGTTGCAGCACTGTTCCTGGAGTGCAGCAGCAGCAACGCTGTTGGTTGTCCACGCAGTCAGCCGCCAGCAAGTTACTGTGATTATATTCACGGTAATCACATCATCTTGCAAGCCTGAGATGATGATCAGTGGTTGCAGAACTTTTAGATGAGGAAAGTCACTTAAATTGGACTGCGTGCTGAGCTCGAGCACACAAACAAGAGCTACACTGCCAGCAGAAAAGCTTGTGGCATTTGCGCTGTGGAAGCTGGCTACTCCAGACAATTTTTGTTCATTTCGGAGTGGTAAAGTCAACTATTGGACTTGTGCTGATGGAAGTGTGCGGGGCCATCAGTCTCAACCTGCTCTGAAAGACCATGTCTTTGGGCAAAGTGCATGA